AAAAATCGGGTCCCTACTTTGGACGACTGTTTTGTACTAAATTTCATTGAATTTGACCGGCCTTCCAGTGCTTGCCCATGTCCGCATGAACGCGCGAATTGAATTGAAATTGAAAACTCAAACTGGCTACGCTATTTTAGTTTTCGCGATGCATCTTATGTCTTGACCAGAGTAAACGAAAATTCATGCAACCACGTTTTTGAGGCAAGTGAAAATTTTCCAAATTAACCTTTGAAGGAGTATTTTGATCGTTAAATCATTCTGTGCAAAATTTGTGCAACTTCTCTTTATTTGAATATTATTAGTAGACTGAAATGGATTCTGCACGGATCTTGTTTTTTTCTAATTTGACTTCGACTTCATAAACTACAATGTAAGTTTTAGTGATTCAGTTTATTTTTATAATACGATGTGTCCTTGCGTGACATAAAGATATATATATATTTATATGCAATTGTTTTGAGCGTCGTAAAAATCGTCGACTTCAATCAACGAGCAACTTCAAGATCTGGATTACATTCTACGATAGTACAGCGTTTTAGCGCTATTAAAATATTAAAAGCTATTAAAATAGATAAGCACTGAAAATTCTAAAATTACATTATCAAAATACTACAGGTTTGCCGTGACTAAACATACAATATATCAAAATACAAATCCTGTTGATTGGTACTGAATAGCTGTCAGCTCCTTGTTTTGCCCCTATGCTATTTAGTGCCAATTATGTGGTCCTGTCTTGTGGATATGGTGTCTCCTCTCTACTCACTTACTTAAGTTTATCCTTGGTTTATTCAACCATTCAACATCAGGTTACTGTTTCTATTATTTAATCTCTATCAAACTTCAACTTACAGGTAAGTTTCGTTTAATTTATCAATTCTACCTCGCATTTGCATACAATCGGAGGTCACGTGAGATTTCAAAGCTCAAAGTCTCACAAAATTAGCCCTCACAACAGTAATAGCTACATGAATTTTATTTCTACTGAGATTCATGTATAATAATGTCAAAATGAAACCTTGTAACATAGGTAAAAGAACAATTAACAATAGATTTGTAACAGCAATATAGGACTAAGCCTGAATATTAATTGTTCGAGGAAGCCAACACTGCTTCTGCAAAGTTATTTGGCTTTACAACTGGTCTGTCATAGAATCGTGCAAATACTGACTCTGAACTCCAGCCAGCTGTGGTCATTATGTCTTCAATAGGAACATCTGCAGCTTTAGCTGCTGAAGTTGACGCTGACCGAGTACTATGACTTTTAAAAACGCTAGTGTCAATTCCAGCTGCTTTCATGGTTTGTTTAATCCACCTAGAGATAGAGTCTCTGGATGCTGGTCCATGAGGCTTGGCATGACAAATAAGCAGTTGACGAGAATCCTTCCTAAGGGAAGCAGTTCTTTCAATGTAAACATTCAACAGAGTAAGCACACAAAGTTTTTCATCTAAAGTGTAACGCTTGAAGACAATGGGAGTCAAGTGTCTGTTTTTCCCCCCAGTGTTTCTGGTCTGTTTTAGGCATGAAGTTATATTGAATGARATTTCATTTGGCTGTACATTCATGTTATCTAAAGACAGTAACTGGAGTGTTTGTGTTCTTTGAGCGGATATAAGTACCATAATCATGACTAGCTTATGCGTGAGCAGTTTGAGAGATAGTTCTCTGGCTGTAGGGAATTTCTTCAAGTGAAGTAGCACTTGCTGTGGATCCCATGTGGCAATATATCGTGGCAATGCAGGTTTGAGGTTAAACAACCCTGACATAAATCTGGACACAACAGGATGGCTGCCCAGCTTCACCCCATCAATTTTGATGAAGCTTGATAAAGCACTTCTAGCTGTTCCTACTGCACTGTAACCCATAGATTTAGATAAATGACACAAAAAYTGAAGGACATTTTGAAGGCTGGGCTGAAAACTATGAACATTATGCTCCTCGCAGAACTTGACCCATGCTGCAACATATGTCTGATATTGCTTACGAGTCCCTGTCCTCCAGGATTGAAGTATAATGTCAAGAGGTTCGCCTGTTACTCCTTGATTTGTMAGAGCTAACCTGATACAAGACAACCARGAAGTTGCAGTTTGGGGTAAAGTGGATGTACCTCCTCTGGGCTGTGAGGCAGCATCAGTGTTTTTCGTTTGTTTGTTATCTTTATTGGTTGAGCTTGGAGCATTTGCAATAGCCTCGGATACCAGAACTGTGTTGTCCAATGAGGAATTATCAAGATTGCCATTACTTTGTCTAACTGTATTTTCTGAAGAACTTTCCCTATAAGGCTAAAAGGGGGAAAGCAGTATATTAGTTGATATTTTCCCCAGTCAATTGTAAATGCATCAATGGCTATGGCACCTGGGTCAGGTTTCCAGGCTACATATTTTTGGACTTTATGGTTAAGTCTAGAAGCAAACATGTCTATCTCCGGCATTCCCCAACATTTTGTGAGGTTTTGAAAAGAGTCTAGGTCAAGGGACCACTCAGTATTGCTGTCATTTTTCCGGCTGGCTTCATCTGCCTCAGTGTTAAGACAGCCAGGCAAGTGGGAGACAGACAGTTTTAAGCTTCTTTCTTTACACCATAGTATAATATCCCTTGTAATTTCATTACATTGTGGGGAATGAGTGCCTCCCATATGCTGGAGGTATGCGACTGCTGTGGTATTATCACATAGCACTTTTATAACCTTGTCATGCAACTGATGACATAGAGATTTAAGGCATAAAAACACTGCTTTCATCTCTAGAAAATTAATGTGGTTAAGTGATTCCTCTGGTGACCATCTTCCCCGTGCTATTAAGTCTGTTCCTTCAATTATGCCACCCCAGCCTGAGAGTGAACTATCAGTTTTTAGGGTGAGCTCAGGTGGTTGTAAGACTAGTGGGCAAGGGAAGAGGTCACATTCCCTAATCCACCATTCTAGATCTTTCCTAGCAACGGGTGAGATGCTCATTTCACTATCTAGATTCCAATTATGTGATTTTAGTGCATTTGTTTTGTCATTCTCTAGGGACCTATAAAATAGGGGTCCATAGTACACTCCAGGGAATGAGGCAACCATAAGGCCTACTACAGAGGCAACTTCTCTTATAGGTACAAGTCCCTGATGTTTTAATAGTTTTGCACATGATTGTTTTAGCTTGTCAACTTTATCAGGAACCATAGATATATCCATAGTAGTCGAGTTAATAATGAATCCCAGGAATTTAACTTGCTGTGATGGTGTAATTATTGATTTGATGTCATGGACTGTAAAGCCCAATGAGCTAAGCAAGTTAGYTGCATCTTTAGTTTGATTATTAAGTTCCTGAGGGGTATCAGCTAACAAAAGAATGTCATCGATATATCCCACTAAATGGTTGCCCTTAACTCTAAGGGTAGCATAAACTGGTTTCATAAGCTTAGTGAATGACCTAGGGGCACTAGATAGCCCATTAGGTAAGCATGTAAATTCATATAATGTATTTTTAAAGTTAAATCTGAGGTACTTTCTGTGTTCAAATGCTATAGGCACTGAATAGTACGCATCCTTGAGATCAAGAACTGCCATCCATGACCCTTGTTTAACGAGTTGGGCAGCTGATTGTAAGGACTCCATTTTAAAATGCTCATAGGTTACATGTTCATTGAGTCTTTTTAGGTTTAGGATCAGCCTGTGTGATCCATCCTTTTTGGGTCTTGTGAATATGGTTGATATGAACTCATCTTCACAGTGAGTAGTTTCCACAATAACATTTTTATCTCGCAATTTAGCAATCTCTTTGTCTATAATTTGTTCCTCTCCTTTGGAGAAATGAATGCAGGGAGCTACTGTTTGATGAGGCTCTGAGTCAAAGGCTATACGATAGCCAGTTACGATCTCAAGTTACGATCTCAAGTATGGTACTATCGGATGTTAGCAACCTCCAGGTGTCTATAAAATTAGCTATATTACCAGCTTTAAAATTTATGTTGATAGTGCATGCACTTACCAGGTCATTAGAGCTTTTTGTGTCTATTTTGACTGTTGTCGTTGTTTTGTGCTCTGTCTCTGACCTTCTTTCCTTTTCCAGGGTTTGTAGTCCTGGCCTCTGGAGTTTTTTTTTGAATTCCTGTATTTGCTACCATGCGAATTACCATATGAATTGTTGCTACGGTAGTCTTTGGATTGGATTCTGGCACCAATTTTGTTCTGGTCACCAATATCTTTCAATTGTTTTTGGAGGTCATCTCCAAAAAGCATGTCAGAGAAGGGAATCTGTGAAGAGCACAGATAGGCATAATCCTTGCCTATGTCTGACTTCATAAACAATTTTCTCTGCACATTTATCTCATAGTTTGCATGTGAGAAGAGAGATAAGGCCTCTAAGCCCTTTTTCTTCWTCTGCTGAAGTTGGTCGCCGCTCAGGTGCCCTGTCATGGACAGGTCAGTCATGCGCATGACTGGTATCATTCCTTTCACTAGAGCTTGTTGAATTTTGTACATTTGTGCATCAGTTTTTCTAGTGTAATCTCTGAGCCTTCGCCAGATGCCTGGATTCACCCTAGTAGGCTTTGCATTTTGACAGTTTTCCGGCCTTTCTATGCGATCTAACTTGTCTTTTAATGCTTTATCCGACATACGATGTCGAAGCATTTTGTCAACTAGCTTAGCGAGCTGGTTATGTTGGAGCTTGGCCCCAGTTATGTCATCAGACTCGTACTCCTTTTGGAGTTCGGCTAGTGTTYCATCAATATCTGACTCACCAGATTCATGTTCGTGTTCAGATTCATCTGAGACATTGTTTTTACCAATGATCTCATTCATGATTTCCTCAGGGTCTCGATCATCCTCGCCATCAGGCGTGCTCGTGGAGCGGCCATCTTGGCGCCGTTTTTTGGCGGGACGATCTTCAGGGGCCGCTGAACGTTTTG